ACAGTATGACAAGAGAGAAGGTCACAAACAATATCCCCATAAGAAATTTAATGAAATTCCCGGGAAGATATAAAAATGTAAAAATGACTTTTTTCACAGCTTTGTTGATTAAACAGTTCATTGATAAATCTTGAAAATATTCGGCAGACACATTTTTGTTGTTAAATAACTTTTGCTTTTAGTCCATTGAGTTGATTTTAAAGCTTTTATTCTTGGTTTTATATTTTCAGCAAAATAACATCAAGTAATCAACAGACCTTGTTGTTGGGGAAAAAATCTGGAAGATTAAAATATCAGCTACGAAGAGAACTGTGGAAATACGATTTAATAATTTTTATTGATCCTGTAAGTCCCGGCTTCTTAAACGTGAAGTCCCTGATATAATGAATTTACACATATTTCCTTAGATGTAGTCTACAACCAAAGGCTGCTGCTCACTTCAGTATTCACTTTATTCAAGATACTGATGATTAACAAAGTCTTATCTTATTATTCAGACTGTCTGGGATTCAAACCCACAACCTCACCAGCCACAGCCCCACTCAGACTTAGCTTTGCCTCAGTCTCTACTCTCGGTGAACGTACTGGATTTATTTTATCTTTATGAAACTGGCGACGCGCAGCGATGAGATGGTTCAGTCCTGGATCACATCTGGGCCCGATATCTTTCTCCAGGGGCGAATGAAATCAGCACCTCGACTCCTCGGACGTTTAATCAACGAGTCCTGCAGGTACGGGCCTCTGCGGGGGGGAACGAGCTCAGTGGGAGGAGGGGAGGTGAATTACAACAACCACTGCATCGCAGCAGAGGGTGGGGGGGGGGGTCAGGTAATAGCTGGTCCAGATTTCATGGGGGGGGGATCCCTGTTCCCTCGCCACAGACTCTTTAAGAGGTCAGTTTGTACAGCGAACTCCAGGTCAAACCCATTCTGCCCGTGGTGCATTCAGGAGGTAAACAGGACGAGGATTTGGAATTGAGCGCAGCCTCCTCGACCCCCTGAGACCTGCGCTGAAATGGACTCGCCGCCTAAACCGCTGCGGCGCAGTCACGTCCGACCTGCAGCCACTTATAGAGTTAGCTGCTGCGCTAATTTTACACGCCCTCTATCGAGAAAGCCACAGGGCCATAACAGGAAAGTCCTTTCTGAGGGCATACCTGCACACTTATTATTAACCTCCGTGACCTCTTTACCCAATTTAAACCGAAGCAATCGACGTCTTTCATCACGTTACGTTCTTGTTTTACAGATCACCAAATATACACAACTTATTAATATCAACACAACCACACACATGAATTCAGTGTAACACACAGTCATACACATGCAGAGAGTGATTTTAAAATTTACATTTTGACTTCTTTATTTAAAATTCAATTAATTTCACATTATTATTAAATTATCATTTTCAACAAAAGACGTTAGAGACTCATGAGGAAACTGTACGTTTGTATTGATGGTTCGTGGGTCATCCAGAGGTTCGAGCCCGGCTGCTCCAGTGTCCTTGGGCAAGAACCTAAACCACTGATACTGAAGTGTGTGACAGACTAAGTGCAGTATAGAGTAGTGCTGTGTGAATGCACACTTGCTCTCTAAAGTGGTTTTGAGTGGTTGTTAGGTCTAGAAAGGCTCCTTATAGATGCAGTCCATTTACCATCCAGCATTTGTACCTTCTCCCGTTATTAAATAGCTGTTACAGTTTCTCGTAGTTTTTCTTTTTCGACTTTCTGAAACAATCTTCCGGCTTTTGTTTGAATAGATCTTTGATCAAATCTCATATCAGCCACTCTCATAATGGAGAGGATCACTGATTAGCCTGGAGTTCGGTCCGTTCTGCTCCAAAATTTCCCATTTATTACATTTGCTTTGAACCTCCTCTGTCTCACAGGGCGATCTGTTGGAGGGCCGTCAGATAAAGAAGAGGCTGTCGCCCCCGTCGGGAGCGTCACTGACGAGCAGTGAGATTGGTTGGTACGGTGGACCCCCTTGCTTTAATGTCGAATGTTACATCTATGGATTCTCTGGAAGTTGTGATGGAAGTTCAGGAAAGGCCACGGGGCAGGCATCAGCGTGACAAACTCACTCTGTCCTGTGAATTGCTCCGTGCAGTCAGATCTCATTACCTGAGCGATGGTTGCGATCCAGTGATAGTGTAAATGCGACTCTGATGGAATGCTGCTGGGACGCGTAGTTTTGAATAATGTCATAGTCTGATAACCACAGTGAAGAACTCTCGTGTGTGAGTTCAATGCAAAGTGAGTGCTCGCCGCGCTGTACTTCCAGATTTGAGTAAATCTGAGCTTCGGTTGTAATCTGTCCGCGTTGTGCGTCCTTGTTTGAAATGCATCGAGGTTCAAACCTGCGTGGGAAGATCCTCTGGGCTTTAATTTCCCTCAAGGTGAAACATTGTCAATTCAAGCAGTTCAAGTGAATCTGCATCTCTCAACACTGTTTGCATCTTTTTAAATTCAAATTTAATTTTGTTTGTTTGCCATAATTGTAGTG